AAGCTGATAACACACAATGGTGTGAATCCATTCTGGGGGGTTTGATCTGAACCTTAGGAGCTAGCCAAGGTTCTGAATCATATCCCTTAAATAGATTGATGTTGATCTACTGACATCAGTATTGGGAAAAAGCATTGGAGGAAAAAAAAAGGGACTGAACTGCTGCTCTTATCAGTTTTGGTACATGGGAATTTTTATAAAACATGAGGTGGCGGAGATGCTATCTTTAACTTGGGCAGATTTATAATTTTGTTTATTTATTTCGGTCAGTCTTTCAGACCAGAACAGAAGAGAAATGGTGATCTGACTAAAAGTTCTCATCTCCTCTGTGGCACTAGCAAGTCAAGTCATATTTGTGGCTGCCATCAGGAGGAGGCCCCTACCTCATGCAGAACGGCCCTGAGAGAGTCCTTCTTGATAAACCTGCCAATATCAAATATAAAATGTGATATATTTTTAGGAGGAGCCCTGCCTCACAGAGAGATCTCAGGCTTTGTATGGAGAAACAACAGCCACAACAATAAAAAGAACACTGGGGAGAAAGATTTTGGCATGTAACCAATCTCTTTCTTCAACTAAGGAAATTAATAATATTCACAGTAAACTTTGTGTTTGTATCTCTTCCTGTTTTGGAAATAATTTTGCACTAAGTAACTTTCAAAAATCTTTCTAAGAGTAGTCAATCTGTCTGTTGCATGTATATCCTACATTTTGTCCCTTAGTTCAAGGTGGGGCATATGTGTCTCCCCTCTTACCCAATTTATCCTCACAACAAAAACTTTGTGACACACATCAGCCTGCAAGAGAATAACTGGCCCAAACTAGCCCAGCGAGTGCCATAGCGCTAGAATCTAGATTTTCTAAGCCCTAGTTCACAATTCTAAAACTGCCACTCCTTCACACAGACTCTTTAGCACCTGGTTGCTTTGTGTGTGTGTGTGTGTGTGTGTCCTGTTTTGTTTTAAGTAGCTAAAAGCACCTGTTTAGTTAATTTTAACAACAGGAAATTATGTTTTGTGTGTGTGTGTGTGTATCCTGTTTTGTTTTAAGTAGCTAAAAGCATCTGTTTAGTTAATTTTAACAACAGGAAATTAGAATTTGTTACTGATTGCAGCTAACTGCTCCTGGGACTCTCAAATTATAACATCACTAATTGTGCTTCTAAAATAATTTTCCCATTTCTGTTCATATGTCATTGATACTGCAAGAATAGTCTCTCTCTCTCTCTCTCTCTTACAAGAATAGTCTCTCTCTCTCTCTCTCTGGGCCAGTACTTACAGGTCTCTAAGACCACAGTTTATTGGAAGCTGCTGGAACATCACATATCAATACACTTAGTGACATCTCTGGGAACCCAAAGCTCATCCTTCAATTCCTTATCAAGCCTATCTTTTTTAGCCTCACCAAAGTCATAGGGCAGCCTATTCCTTCTGTTCCTTCCATGATAAGCACTGTTTAATTTACTTCATATGTCTATTCATATAGTCAAATATATATGTATATATTGACTAGAAGAATATTACTTACCTCTGCCTTCCTCCACAAAGGGAAAAAAGGGAAAAAAAAAGAGGGAGAGAATGTGAGATCTTTATGTCAATCAAAATTCTTCTTTCAACCCTGCAGCCCTCTCTCCCTTTTGAATCTCTCGGTAATATTGTTGAGATGTTCTTAGCCAAATACATGTTTCCGTTAATGAAATCTTATGTTTGCCGAGGAATCACATTTCTCTTCTTGCCGTGTGTTGTTAGCAAAGGCAAATCAGAGATCTTAGATTTAAAAATACATGCACAAACACACATACATAGGAGAGGGAGGAAGGAACTGACAGACAGGCAGGCAGGCAGGCAGGCAGAGATTATTTATGGTCAGTCTACCCAGTCTTAAGGAGCGGAACCTGACAACTTTATACTAAATGTCAGAAGCTGTTCACTGTCATTCCACACTCAATGATGATGACGACGATACTTTGGTGTCTTCTGGAAGAAAATTGTGTTTGGAAATCCCTTGTGCTCATATGGCTTTTGTATGGTACGCCGCTTGATTTTTGTAGTATTGGTCTACACATGGAATAGGATGAGGTGCTAGCATCACAAATCGAAAAAAGGTTGGGATTCATGATGGTGATGAGCACAGTAACCTTACAGATGCTGGATTCCCCACTATTTCCTTGCAATGACACTACAGGGAGAAAAATGACTCGTTAATCAACACTACAAATAGTCCTGTTGAATGCATAGAATGTGTTAAATCCACACTTATTGATTCAGGTTCTACTCTTTTTGAGACTAATGATCAGATTTAGCTCCAACATCATGAGATTGCACTGTTCAATGAGAGACACATAATAATAGGGTGCTGCCCAGTCAATCCTGACCTATGGTGACCCTTTTCAGAGGTTTCGAGGTAGAGAATACTCAAAAGCAGTTTACCATTCCCCTCTTCTGGGGGTTCCCTGGGATTATGCAGCCAGAGCATGGAGACACAGGCCGATTCTTTTTCCTGGTGGCACATATAATAGGCAATCCTTATTTCTGCTCCTGAAGTTGCTATCTCAGATGGGGGGTGGGTGGGAAATTCAACTTCAAGAAAAGATTGGTCCCCATTCTCTGCCAGACATGATGAATCTTCTGAAGACTTTCAGTGTCTGAGCATCAAGGTCTTCCATTGAGACCCTACCCAGAGTACTTCTGACACTTGAGGGAGAGCAGAAAAACTGTCACCATTCCCATATCCCACTCAGTGAAGTGGGGCTTACTTGTGCCCCTTCCCCAAATAACTAGTTACTGCAAACCTCTGCTGAATACTGAATATCAATGAGTTTGGAAAGTTATTTTAGGTACCGGAATGACTCATCCCAAAAGTTTCCCATACACATTGGGTTAAATCAATAGTTAGTTCCCCATAGGTGAGACCCCTTGAATTAATAGGACTTTTGTAAGTCAGCTAGCAATTTAATCTGGCATGATGTTCTAGTTCCTGTGCTCTCCAGAGAGCCTCATGGTAGAGTGGTTAAACTGCAGTACTGCACCCAAAACTCTGCTCACAACCTGGGTTCAATCTCAGATAGCCATCTCAAGGTTCATTCAGCCTTCCACAGCCTCCAAGCTTTTGGGGGTGGGCGGAGGCAATGTGTAGCTTGCATAATTAAATTGCAAAGCATCCAAAGAGGGCTTTAAGCATTGTGCGGCAGTACATAGGCAGCCCACTTGCTTTTTTCTCTCTTTTGTTCCTGTTGAAAAACAAAAACAAAGGAAAAGACAGAGTTCTGTTGGCCCCCAAACACCAAAGTGGGTGGTACAGTCATGACCCGCTTAACGATTACCCCGTATAACGACAAATCTGCTTCACGACAATGGGGTTTTTTCGCTTTGCGACCATTGGTTCCCTGCTTCGGGAACTGATTCTTTGCATTACAACGATCAAAACAGCTGATCATCAGGTTTTCAAAATGGCCACCGGCTGATGAATATGGCTCCCTGCTGTTTTTAGGCACCCGAAAATGGCCGCCGTATGAAGGATCTTCACTGGACGATTAGATATTTTGCCCATTGGAACACATTAACTGGTTTTTAATGCATTTCGATGGTTTTTTTTTATTTCATTTGACGACAATTTTGCTCTACAGTGATTTCGCTGGAATGAATTAAAGTCGTCAAGCGAGGCACCACTGTATTAAGCTAAAGTTCCCCACACCACTTTCTAGAAATAATCCTCCAGAAGAAACCAGGCCCATTAGAAAAAATGGATCCCAACCATCAGTTGCTAGATGTTCTGGGACTACGACTCCCAGTAAAACTGGCTAGTGATGAAAGTTTCCGGAAGTTTTAGTCTGAGAACATTTGAGGACCCGAGGTTGGGAACTATTGCATGAGAACTATGGAGTCTTTGGCTTCAGCTAGCTATTTTTTCTCTCCTTCTTTTGTGGTAATGTATCACTCTTCTTCTTGAAAGGTGTTACAACAGCAATTCAATTAGGGTAAATAGTGTACATCATATTCGCAGCTGGAAAATCTGGTGACTGACTGTGACCAAACGCTGAAAAGGGATATAGCTTATAACCGGTATTACCCTGTGTCTCCTCCCTTATTTTTTGTTGTTGACCACAGGTTAATGAGTTTCAAGGAGCTTAGGATATCTAAACAGAAACACACTGAGATGCTGGGGAGAAATTATACAAAGCCAAAATGGGGGAATTACAGAGATCACATGAAATCAACTCAGCAGTGTGTTGCACCTGGGAATCCCATTTAAAGGGGTTTCTTTACCTGCTCTTTCCTCCACCCCTCCTTCTCCCTTTTTTCCCTCTTCCTCTAGAAATTGCTGGGGTTGATGGAAGCGACTGATGCTAAAAAATAGACCTGCCCATGCAAAATTCACAAGGGCAGGATCTGAGTTGGGGGTACCATAATCCATAGGTGGGTGAGTGGGCAGATAGATGGATGGATTTGAAAAATTGTGTCTGTTGTGTGAAAGCACAGCGTAAAAATAAAAGAGAATGAGTGAGAGGGAAAGGAGGGGGTGGAAGAATGCAAGGGATGTGCATATGAATGAGAGAGTGTGTATGTTAATGAATAAACATGTATCATGAGACCTAAATACTTTACAGGGTGGAAGTATACATTACTGAGATACAGCTGCATTAACTATTAATGGGGGTTTATGGGGGTTTCTGTAGGGGGAGAAATTACCTTGATTTGATTTCTTGCCTGCTCCCACACCCCAAAATGGGAAGAACTGTCTCACTCTTGAGATGGAAGGCAAAAACTAGCTATACACTGTACGTATGTGGGTATGCTAGCATGTATGCCTGACACAGGCTTGGAAAGGCTAGGAGACGGGGTGGGGGGTGGCTTACTCAGCTCTAAGATTGCCTCTGTGAAGTGCCTCCAGATGTTCAAAAAGCTGCTGTTGTCATCTGTGATGCTGAGGATGCACACAAGAGGCAGGAGCTCCATCAAACCTTCAGAGATGAGGCGTCACCCCGGCCAGCCAAGTGTATCTAACTTCTATCTGGCCGTCAGCGTCCTCGCTTCCTTAACACAGAGAAACACAGTTAGCACAATACTTTCATTTATATGGTTATTAAGAGATCACGGGCCATTTATGCTGCGCAAATGTTCTGCTGAGACATGTTAGGGAATAATTGTCATATAGCGTCTGCCGCATAGTGATAGCGGCTGGAGGCAGGCTTCTTTTATTTACTCACTCTCTCGTTTTGATTTGGAAGTTCAAATAAAATTCTCTGACCCTCCAGCCAGATTGTCATCCAGGAAAGGTCTAGGAGAGATGCCATCCAGAAGATGATTTCATTTCAGGAGGAATGGGTGACAAAGCATTTAATGAAGGGATCAATCTCTGCCACCACCATTTTTCAGTTAGTTCTGATAATAAATAGGAGGAGAACCCTCCTGGCGTTTGTGTGCGAATACATGCATTTTATTTTATTTTATTTTATGCCTTAATCCTCTAGATATATACATGTATGTATGCATATATGAATATGTATGCATTGGGGGGGGGGTTACGCTCTTAACAATTATTTATGGAATTTATCTCCCTAAGAGTCTGCGGCACATAATCTATATTATTGTTGTATCGATTCTGTTTATTTTTATGCAGTTGTTCTGTGTTGTTCACATCTGATCTGTTGATGGTACAAATAAAATCATAATATTTTAGAAGGGAAAACCAAAAGTTTGAGGTGAACTGCTGTTTGTGTTAAGGAGACAGAGGTATAGAATTTAATCTATGTGGGGGAGCAGGCACTTAGGATCCCTTTAACCCGTTTCGGACTTTGAAAGCACGTAAGGGCAACAGATCCATAGAGGATTGCGCTCTAAATCGTCGGATTCCGCAGCCGGCCGGCCGCACCCGGGACAAGTAGAACTGAGAGATTTCTCTCCGAGTTCAGAAGATGATGAAAAGTGGTAGGAGGGAAGGTCCCAGGGACTGTCAAGATATCGGGTTGGGTGGGGTGAGCCAGAGGGTTCATCCTGATTGTTATGGAGTGGCTTGGAAAAACCCTGGAATAAATGTAAAGAGCATGAATTGGCCGGCTCAAGTTTCTGAGCGAGGAAACACGAGGGGTGTGTGTGTGTGTTTTTTATCCGTTTCAGTTTATTGTCTTTACCGTTTTCTCTAGCACTTTTCAAACGCCTAGAATCGTAGAGCTGTCATCAGGAATCAATGATCAACAGTTCAGACACTTTTCAAGAGTTCATCTGTTCCTTTTTTTATGTTTGAACACGAGAGAAAGGATGAGAAAGAGAGAGAGAAGCAGAATTTCTTGTCCTCTAGAAATTAGAATTTGGGATTTGGATTCCCCCCCCCCTCCGCCCCAATATCTTGGGAATGTATACCCGCTTCCACGCCAATCCACGGAAAGGAATCAAAGATAGCAAATTCGCTTCTTTGGGGGTTCGCCAGCTATTTGACCTCGGGTGTTTTTCCATTAATCTTCTCGTTAGCAGATTTTGTTGATTAAGATGTCATTTTTGACGAGGGAGGGACGGGAGGGGGTTATCTGGTTTCATCTGAGTCTTGAAGTTGAAAGATGCCGCTTTCAATTTTTTTAAAG